ATTACCAGCAAGTCATTTATGCATAGAGTGTATTCGTCCTATTTCGTTTAAGGCAGTAGTTCCCATACTTTTCCTAGTCGCAGCGCCCTTTTTCAATCAAAATTTTTCCATGGTGCCCTACCCTAAGTATGACTATTGGTAAGTAAGAGATGAAAATAAATAGAACTCGTGTATCTTCATTATTTTTTTTGCTTTATTAACATTAAATTAATATTTAATAAATAATGTAATGGATGATGAGCCTGAAAGTCACTGCACATTTACTCTAATTGCAGCTTTTACAATATTTCGCGGTGCCCCTATAAAGAGGCCACGGCGCACAGTTTGGGAATCACTGGTTTAAGGTTATAAGGAGAATGGTAGTTGAATTTTTGCAACAATTATCTGAGTAGAATTTTCGTTTCCAGTGAATTTCACACAGCCTTGCTTACCCAAAGTTACTCTCATCCAGGGTGAACTGCAGTTCAGCCTCGTTGGGATCTTATTAACACCCCATAGGGATTCGAACCATAGCAATGCGGCGAACGATCTCGACACGTTAACTACTACGACACATTGCCACGAGTGCCCTTTAATCACACGGCAAATGCGAATTTCAATGAGGACCACATATTTTCCTGTATCATATTCTATTGTGGGCTTGTCGAGGAGGAAAAGTTGTATTTCCTATAGCAATGGACTGCGTTGCCTGTTTCCTTTATGACGCCGCCATTAAACTTCCTATATAAACAACCTGATAAAAAACTGACTGATAATCTTGAAAGCCTAATTATGGATGAAGCATAAGTAACAGATGATTGTTATAGCAAATACAACTTTACTTCGGCAGCAAGGTCTTCTTGACCTAGCGTAAACTTGATTCTTTTACCAGAATGAATTTCTTTCTCTTTAATACGTTGTTCGGGTTGCGGAGTCCACGGGACATCCTTCTTCGTTTCGAGTGATAGCTGCAAAGTACATCATATGATTAACTAAAGTTCAGCCAGTTTGCATCTGGAACGAGGAAGAATGTCTCGTAAACGGTGTCAACTGGAACTTTGTATTTAAGCCAAACGACGGCAGTACAACGGGAATCAGCCGTCGTCTTTTGGAGAGCTCGACCCTTCCTTATGCTCTTCCTCGGGCTTTCATACGAAATGACAGTCCCCTCGGCAATGTCATCTCAGATGATTCGCCGAAACCCAGTTACAAACTGGTTCTCAAGCCTTCTTCATGTTCGCCC